GGAACTAACAAACTTTAAATACCAACTCTGTCAGGAACCTTACCTCTGCTCTCCCATTTATCTGCACAATGGCTTCATGAGGTATGGCTACCCTCATTTTACTGATAACGGTACAGGCTTAAAGGGTGAATTGAATTTTTTTAAGTCTATACCTTAAAATTGTTAGAGATGGGATTAGAAGTCAGGTCTGCCTGACCGCAGATGCGTTTCTCTCCATAATTTTACCCATAAATCTGAAACCAAGCTGATCATTGTCTCCCCAAACTTGTCTCTCCCATTCTGTTCTCCATCTTGGTGACTACATACCTCAGCCAGAAAGTTGCTGCCATCTCCAATTCTTCTCACTTAACTCCCATATCCAAAAGGGGCCATGAAATGGCTCTAGAAATTCCACCTTAATAATGCCTCTTTCACTCTTCTTTCCTATCTGTATTCACCAAAAACTAAATTCAGATTTTGTAAGGGAGAGAGATCTGCTCTCCTGTCCTTAGTTCTCCCGTGGGGTCTTTGGATGGACTCAGTAACCCAATTAATACAAGCACTGATTAACAAGAGAAAGGCATAAAATTTCATATTAATTTCACAGCTATATGGAGATATTCACAAGTGGGTGAAGTCTAAAGAAATGACCAAAGCATGATGCGTTTATGCTTTTTAGATAAAAAAACCATAAATATATGAAGACATAACTTGGCTATGACTGTGCTGTATGGGTTTAAAATCTAGGTATGTCACTGAGATATATGTGGGGAGCATACAGAAGCTGGTAGAAGATAAAGCTTACTTCAAAGAGTGTTTATGCAGGTTCACTGCAATAACCAGTGTCTGGTGATCCAGGCTATTTTGCAACCCTGGTATGTGAAGGACATTGCTCCTGAAAGAATCTTTATGGTTTACTGCACACAATGAAATACAGGCCAAGAGGCATTTTCTGAAGTGGCACTTCCTAAAGAGATTTCACCTTGAAATAATCAATAGGCCAATTTGGATTTTTAAAAATTTTATTTTAAGGAGGAAAAAATAATAGAAGGAATGATACAGCATTTCAAAACAGAATAATAGGAAATTAACAATTATTAAGATATTGTGTATCATTAGCTTCAAAATTGTTGCTCAGATTACAAGATATAGACATGCAAAATTGATCAAACTGTATAAGCACAAACTTTTTTTGAATGAACTAAAAAAATTAGTAGTATAACTAGCTTAGCTATCTTGTATATACATTTTTTTCTTTTCCCTTCCTTTTTTCCTCCTTTTCACCATCCCAGTTATTCTTTCCTTGTGAGTGATTTTGTTCTCTTTTATAATATCTATTGTACATTTTGGATCTTATTTACTCTTTCAGTTTCTTACACTAGGGAGACAATACAATGTTTACACATGTGAGTCTGATTTATTTCACTTACGAGTATGGTCTCTAGTTGTATCCATTACCTACAACAGCCTCGAGTTTATCCTTCTTTATAGCTGAGTAGTACTCCATTATATAAAAATACAAAATGTTTTTTTATCCTTCTTCAGTTGAAGGTCTTTTGGGTTGTTTCCAAGATTTAGCTATTCCAAATTGTGTTGCTATAAATATAGGTGCACATATATTGCTGCAGTATGATGTTTTTAGTTCTTCTGGAAAAATATCTAGAAAAGGAATAGCTGTGTCAAATAGGACCTCTAATCCTAGTTTTTTGAGGAGTCTTCACACTGAGTGCCACAACATTTAGACCAGTGTACACTCCCACCAGCAGTGGAGAAGTGCTCCTCTAGTCCCACGGCCTCTCCAGCATTTGTTATTGGTTGATTTCTTGAGGATAGCCATTCTTTCTGGAGTGAGACAGAATCTCAGTGTTGTTTTAATTTGCATTTCTTCAGTGACCAAAGAAGTTGAACATTTTTTAATGAATTTGTTTTCCATTTGTACTTCTTCATCTGAGAAGTGTGTATTCATCTCAGATGCTCATTTTTGGATTGAGTCTTTGAATTTGGGGGACTCGATTTTTTTCAGTTCCTTAAATGTTCTAGATGGAAGTCCTTTGTCAGAGGGACAGTTGGCTAAAATTTTTTTCTCACTCTGTGGGTCTTATTTTCACTTTGTGGGTGATTTCTTTTGATGAGCAAAATTTTTTTTAATAATATGAGTTTCCAAGTTGTTGATTCTTTGAAGTATGTTCTGTGCAGTTTGGTTTTTGTTCATGAACTCTCTACCTACGCAGATGTCTGTCTTCAAGATTTCTACCTATTGTCTCTTCCTTTAGATTTAGTGTCAAAGAATAAAACTAGACCCATGACTAACACCATGCACTAAACTAAAGTCAAATTGAATCAAAGATCTAAATATTAAAACAATTTGGAATATTTTGAGATGGCATGTTCTTAACCCCTTCAAAACCCAGCCAGGCTAGTATTGATGTTTGGGTTAGGAGGTAGTTTGACCCTTTAAAATTGGAACCATTAAACTTGATGTCATTATCTAGATTCTGCCTGACATTTCTCATGCTTGTAACATGTATGTCACTAAGTGCTGCTTGGATGAGTGAATACATCAATTAGTAAATTTGTAGCAGATACTAATATGTGCACTTTGAGCTATGCAGATATTTTACTCATTCTCCACCTTTAGGATAAAGATCAGACTTCTTCATACACAGAATACAGTTCCGGAATAATCTAGCTGCTGACTTTTCTTATTCAGCCTTAATTTCCAGTCACTTCCCATCTGAAAGGCTCTACTGTTTACTCCAATTGATGTTCCCTTTGTGTATTGGCCTTCACACGTTTATCAGCATAGATCCCCACTCTTGCCTTGTATATTCTGCTTCCCACCCTTCCTCTTCTTATTTCTTACTCACCAATTTAAATAATTTATTCTTGGGGAAACTTTTCTTGATACTTTAAGTCTAGACTTCTACAGTTGACAGAACTAAGACTCAAATAATGTCCCCAGGGCTCCACAGGTTATAATTGGAAAAGTCCAATTTATCCAGCTTTATTCGACTTCAGATAAATATTATTTCATTTGTATTACTCCTCAAAAGACTCAAGGAAATAAAGGGGATAAATGACTGCCTCCAGATAACAGAGCTAACCTAGTGCAATTCTGTAGCCCTAATCCAGATACACTATATCAGAGCAATTCCTCTCACCAGAAATGATAGCTTTCTAAAGTGGGAGAAATTATTATCCAGTTCACCAACTAGCCAAATTATGATGAAAGATTCCTTATCACTACAAGCTGAAAGAGCGAATTCTTGGGCAAACATTCCTAGGCACTTTCCTATCTGACTTGAGTAATGCTCCACCCTGACAATGCCTTTTCTCTATGTCTTTTGAGCAAATGAGACCTTTAAGATAGCCTCCCAAGGGAATCAGGTGAGCTGACTTGGTCTCTTTCTCACTGAGATCCAATATCTGACACCTACAAAATACAGGAGGGGAGGTTTATTTTGACTCTTGATTTTTAGAGGATTCAGTCCACAGGCTCCAGTGCAGGGAGGGCATGGTGGGATGGTCTGGTCGAGGAAAGCTGCTCACATCATAGAGGCCAGCAAGCAGACAATGCAGGGAGGAGTCCGGCAGGGAGATGCACTCTTTCAGTCACATTCCGAGGGAGGGATGGACTCCTCCTTCCAGACCCCTCCCTCAGCAGCACATTCATCTCTAAGCTCTTCAGTGGATAGACCCACTGATGAGCTTAGCACCCTCAGGATACAATTACCTTCCAAAAGCTCAACCTTTGAGCACGTGAGCTTCCTGAGGAATATTCTAGATCTAAACCGTAACAGTAACTCACTATGTTATCTTTGTAACCACTACATGGCTAGCACAATCACTTATCAATCAAGTAAATGTAGAAGTAGAGCTATTTCAACCTCTTGTGTTTTAAGCTCTGGAAGTGTGTCAAGTGCTGGAAATCAAACTCAGGACCTCATGCTTGTCAGGCAGGCACTGTGTCACAGAGCTATACACCCGGTTGTGGAATTGCTATTTAATACTATTCCCCCAACTGAACTTGAGACAGATAGCTCTGGGTTAAAACAAAATTGCTCTCCAAAGACATTTATCACCACAACTGGTATGAGGGAGGGGAGAGGGTGTGTATTGAGGAGATTCATAGTCGGACTAAAAACCTAATCTCCTCTAAATTCTCAGAAAGTCTTAGCATTGGTTTTATTTTATCAAGAAATTGCCCAATATGCATGTTGCAGAAGACAAACTGAATTGACCCTAAAACCTCTAATTAATTTTTAGTCATTCTTCTGCCTTTCTCCTCCTGCTACTCCTCTCTCATCATCATTCAAGAAATCCCTCCTTTTTGTCTAAGCTAATATTGTCTGTGATAGGAGCAGCACTAAGGATGCTGCTGATATATGAACAGTTTTATGAAATAAATATGAGGACTTGAAAATGAAGATGAGTTGTGTTAAATTTATTTCATCATTGATTATACTTTAGTAGGAATATTCCTGCAATTCTGAAGTCCCATGCCTACTCTGCACTGTCTAAATACACTTGAAAATTCATAAAGGAAAAGGTTGATAATATTTTCAGAAAGCTCATCTATAAAATCAACACACAGTGCCCCAGAGCACAAATATGCAAAGAAATCTCAAACAGGATGCCTCTGAAGCCAGTCATTCTTTCTGACAATCTAATTGAAAGAATTAACAAGTTAAAGTGAGACAATCACACATACGCACACACTGTCCTGGCAACCACACATTGAAAAAGAAAGGAATCACTGAGGTCAAGTTGGCAGTGCCCAGCTGGCACTTTCTAGGCAGGCTGTGTCTTTGCTAACAAACTTTACCTACAAATAAGGCAGAGTCAACTATGCGCAAACAGAGCCAGACACAGGTCCTTAATAACAATCTGGTAACTAAATAAAATAATAAATAAATAACTAAGGATCTCAGTGGTTTTGTGGAGGAGTGTACATGAAATATTATAATCATGTATCTATTCTTCTGATGTCACTTGGCCTCCTATAATCCACAGGAAGATCTCAGTGTCCCTAATCCCACTGTAAAAGGTGACAGTGGCATTCCGAGTTTGTAATCAATTTCTGACTTCAGTTCTCCTGGACAACTGACAAATCCCTTCATAAACTGTAGACCTAAGCCAGATCTTGAATGCTGAAAAACTCACCAAGGTAATGTCACTGAGGGTAGGGGGAGGGTTCTGAAGGTCAATTAACCTTCTCCAGATGACATTATTTTACCTGATTGTGTGTGTGTGTGTGTGTGTGTGTGTGTGTGTGTGTGGTGTGTGTTAAAAATATTTCTACCACTGTACTTTCTATTAAAATCACCATGAATACTTGAGAATCTACTGTTGTTCCTCTTGCAACCAATTATTTTCTTGAATCTTGTCTTGAAGGACAATTCTCCCTAGGGACAACACTTGCCATCTGCTGCTTCAGGTAAGTCTCCTATCAAATCCCCTCCATGTGGCTTGTTTTAGCTACTAATGAGTTGTCTTCACTATGATCCTAAGCATTTCTCCATCTTATTTAGGTTGTTAGTGCTAATTTTAAAAGCACATTTTAAGGCTGCTTTTATTAAGCATTTGAATTAGTGAAAAGATTCATGCCATGGGACCCCTGACTTCGAGGACCCTTTTCCCACATGACTCTCCATCCATGGAAAAAGAAAGATTTACTAATTAGTTCACAAGAACTATGAAGCACTCACTGCGTGTAAAGTTTTATGTTTTTGACAGCAACAGAAAATAAATAACATGCATAAGCAATATTTCAGGCCTAGAATGCTATGAGGGATGAGTTCTCTAGATAAAATTGTGTACTGAGGCAGGGATTGTCCTAGATTGCCAGCCCCAGCTCTGTACTTCTTGTGTGGGTGTCATCCTAGACAAGTCACTTAAACTTCTGGAGATCCTCATATCTTACTTTACAAAATAGCATAAGATCTTTTCCCTACCTTCGCTCATAGGGTGAAGTGGAAGATCAAATGAACTAAAGACTGAAATCCCTTTATGACTTTTAAAGTGCTACCCACTAGTGACTGACTACCACTGTTGTCATCATCATCATCATACCATCATCATCATCACAATGTCTACTGTTGTTAAGGAGAGAAGAAACTGTTGCATGACTGGATGCTAAATCAAGGTTCTGTCCCCTCAGGACAAAGCTACCAGAAGACTGCCGTAAGTGCTGTTGCCACTCTCCGTAACATCGTGATTGCTACTTACGGAGCAGCCTGCTACACAGAAAAAGGGATCAGATGCCTTGACACCCGAATTGCTGGGTATCAAATCTCTCCCATTATCTTTCCAAAGAACACAATGTATTTGCAGCTGGAAAGAGACAACCTGACTTGAAGCCAAATCATGCTGGCTTCAAGTTGCTGGAATTGGCTCTTCAGAAGGTAAATTTTCTAAAGCCACAGCACTCTGCTCCCTATTCCCCATCTAATTGGATCTGAATTAGAACTGCACATTCAGAAAACTCTTCTGTCACTTTTTGTCAAAGATTTCTCTTTGAGTCGCTTGAAATATCTATTAAAAACTTAGCCTAAAGCAGTGTCTTTTGAATACCCACCTCAGTAATTCAGTACTGGAACACTGTGAGCGTCCACCAACATCAAATGGATAAATTACTCAAAAGACATTTTCCACCCTTAAATATAGTTCCAAGAAAGAATAGGAAATGCCTCATACCTCTAATGGAAGCTATTTTCTACAAAAACAAATCATTCAGCTCCATGGACCTAGAAATGCCTTTTGCACATAAAATTGAAACGAAGAGACAGCAAAACAGCAGCTGAAGCCATGAAGTCATCACCCCCAAAGCACATGATTCAAATAAAACTGATATACTCATTGGAAAAATGGGCTCTCCACACACACAGCATTATGGCTGAGCTATAGTAGTTGTCATCTTATGTATAAAAGAAAACAACCAATATTTTGTATGAATTTTCAAGAAAATGAACTATTTGTTCCTTCTTAGTAGCTAATGTAAATGTCAGAGGAAATAGCAGTTTGAGTTCCAATAAAAATGTGGAACATTTCAAAATGCTCATACATAAATCCTGACATCAAAATGTCCGTATTTTAAGATGCTGGAACATGAGCATCAAATGATGTGCTTAATACATTTGTTCTTTCGTGAAGAGATGAGGTATAATTGTATGCAATCATCTTGTAGCTAGGAATTATATTAAGAAGTCTGAACTATAAGTACTAAATCAAACTAAATCGTCTCTATCCTATTTTTCTCTTTCATACTTGTCATTACTTCCTGAAGTTCTCATTAGAACTGCATAATTCTACACCCCACAGCCCATAGGTTTTCTTCAGAGAAGGAGGGGAATTTAGTCCTTCTCCTTTCTCTCAGAGCCCCGGATCTCTCCTTGCAGATGCTCAGGGGATGAGAGTCACAGATACATCATTTCAATGAACAATAATACCTTATTAGGTAGGAGAACTAAAGTATTGCTGCTTTGCCTTTTCATAAATATTTAGCATATCTTTAAAATCTGTTTTCATTGTCCTTTGAGAAAAAGACAACATGTTCTAGAAGAAAGGTTAATGGGAAAACATGAGCTAGGTCGTGGTATTAAAGACAGATTTCTTTTCCAATGCTAAAAACCACAGTTCTCCCTCATTCGCTCCTAAAGAAAACATAACATCGCTGGCCTAATGGGCTGCCCACAAATGACCATTATTGAATGAATAATAAAGGAATAATAGCAATGTGATTTTCACTTACATCAACCACAAAAATCTTCTGGGAATCATCCAAAAACTGCACTTTTAAATGTAGCATCCTCGGAGAGGCTGTTAGGCTGCGAGCAGGCTCAGCAAGCTGTGGGTGCTGTGACAGGAAGGGGCTTTCTCCAGCAGTCTCACTCCCAGCTGGATGCTGTGCACTCAGGTCCCCCCACCCCCAGGCAGGCATCCCCACTTTCGGCGGGGCCCAGTGCCATTTGCGCGAAGTGATGCACACCCGAGGGCGTCTGTGTGCTGAGTGCTGGGTTCCGCAGCATCTGGGCAGCCTCCGCCGTGGCCAACAGCAAAACCAACTGAACTTTCACCTGGGTTCCTTTCTAAGAAGAAACAGAAGAGAAAGAAAGTGCTTGAGACTTCTAGGGATTGTCTTTATTTCGCAAGTGCACAATTTAGAAACCCTACACGAGCCTTTGAAAAACTGAGAGACGACATTTTCAAAAGTAAAAAGATTAGTCCGTATTTTATAAGAAATTTCATGGCTGCGTTGGAGAGATAGAGGGATAGATAGATATAAATAAGCATATCTATTTCCATATGTATATTTCTTTTTCGTAATTTTAAATTTAGATTTTTTTAGAAATGAAAATATGCTTTATTTTATATATCCATATAATTTTAATTATTCTGAACTTTCGTGACTTAGAAGCAAAAACCATATCACAAAGAAAATACGGAAAGCACCACTTCCTCCTCTGTCCCTTCCATTCTGTGTCCCTGCTAGACTTCCATCAGCTACAATTTGAATAGGTTTTGGCTGTAGTTGCTTAGTCTTCTGGAGTTCCTCACACAAGCATTGTACAAGGCATTTATCCTACTTAGGCAGTGGGCTCTTGCACTGCCATGTCTTCCTTTTCTTCCTTCGTATATTGTAGAGATTTCCCTCTCATTGTGCGTGGAGAGTTTTCTCATTTCTTTTTACAGCTCCATCATTTTGACTGTGTAGGTAACTATAGTTTATCCAACCAGGCTGACATGAATACTTTAGTCTCATGGAAGCTGAAATAACTATGTGCATACCTATGTTTGTTTGGTTGGTTTTTTTTCTTTTTGAGACAGGGTTTTAATATGCAGGACAGGCTGGCCTTGAGCTCATTTTATAGACCAGGCTGGTCTGGAACTTACAAGGATCCTCCTGCCTCAGCCTCCCAAGTGCTAGGATTACAGGAGTGCACCACCACGCCCTGCTTTATGTGCATACATATGCCACTGCACAGTGTTTAGGTAGATCTGTGTAGAACAGAGCTCTGAAGTGGAGCTGCTGGTCACAGGTAATGATTTTGCCATTTCTTGATTGTCCTCCAAACTTTCCCACAAAATTCATATGTTGTAATTCTAACCCCCCACAAAACATGAATGCGTTTGGAGAGTTGAAGACAGTGTATTTAAAGTGATATTTAAATTGAAATGAAGTCATTAGAAAGAGCCCAAATCTGATCTGACTGTTCCCTGGCAGGTTGTAGGGAAAAGGAACCCTTTTTCTTTGTTGGTGGGAACATAAACTAGTGCAACCACTATGGAAATCAGTATGGAGATTTCTCAGAAAACTCAAAAAGAGAGATTATGTTTGACTCAACTATACCTCTTCTGGGCACTAAATATTTAATTCTTTAGTCTAATTGGATTTTATCCTGATGCATGGATGCATGATACACAATATAAAGCCAATTGTATCTTTTTCCAGCTAGTTACCCAGTTACCCAGACATCATTGTTCAGGAAGTTAATTTCTGCCTCCACTGATTTGAGAAGCTGCCTTTGTCATACGCTAAATTTCCATACGTACTTGCGGTCTATGTTTGCATTTTTATTCTTTTCCCTTCAGGTACAAATTCTACCACACTATTCTAACTTTTGAGACTCTAGAGTATAGAGAACCTGATTTGGACCTTATCTTGGTCTGGAGGCTTTTATATTTGTAATTCCAAGGAAAAGTTTTTGGAATTACAGTAAGGAAATTCCAGTCTACCAATTTCAGTGCAACCACAGCAAGAATAGACAAAGCCATATCTGTAGTTGTGGGGAGCCAAGGGGGTCGGTCCTAAGTCCAGTCTGAACAATAGCTAAGCAGAACAAAGGCCTGAACCCAGGGTTGAACCCAGGTTTCATTAATTGGTGAAGAGGAGAATGGCCCAGCGTTGAGTGACTGAGAGAATGGCAGGAGTACTGCGCACAGGGCTAGGTAGGCGACACAGCAGCACCTCTGCAATATGCAAAGAGAGGTGTGCAGAAAGACTACTGGGTTCTGGTAACAGGTAATCTCTAAATCTGGAGGAATCTGCATAACACAGATTGAGGAAGCATATTGTGCTTTGGGTCGGTTTTCTCTGCTTTGATGTGTGGCCTTCCTGCCCTGGGAAGTTGTGGCGTGTTACTGGATCATCTCTCAGCCTAGTTCATGCTTAGTATTAGGGAGTTATAGGTGAGGCATCACTGATCTGTCACATTGCTTCAAAGGCTCTGAATCAGTGCCGTCTCGCTAGGCCCATTTGCATTACTTAAAGCCAATTGAGGGAACAGATTATTTTCCTAGCCAGCTCTGTACATATCAATGCACAGCAGTAGGGCAAGGGTGCCAAAATGGAGCTTCTTTTGGGGGAGCCCTTCCAGTGGTCCTCCACACAGAGTATGTCTTACTATCTGGCAAGACTTTTCCACATCCTAATGCTTTCTTTTACTTAGTTTTCCTGGATTCTCTTATTTATTTATTTTTCTAGGTATTATAACCTTGCTTAGTTCCAAGAAATAAATGTTGGTGTATTTACTGAGCTGTTAAAAATATAAATTTACTTAAGGGTAACTGATATCATTCTGATGAGTCTTCCTACTCAATTTGTTCATATCTACTTTTTATGTCTTTGTCTTCTAGAATGTTCCTGTGTCTAATACACATTTTTATAAATACATAAAAACAAAGAGATGGGAAAATAAACTCCTGAGCATGGAATATCATTCAAAATGTGTGTGATAAAGCCCTAAGACTTAGGACCTCAGAATGTGACTGTATCAGGAGGTGGGAATTTTAAAGAAGAAATTAAATTAAAATTGCGTTAGGATGGGCCCTACGGCAAGCTAATAGGCATTCTTAGAAGAAGAGGCTATGAAGAAAGACACACCAGGGATGTGTGCACACAGAGAATAACTGTTGGGGACACACTGAGGGTGTGGCCTCAGGAGACACCAAGCCTGCTGACACTTTAATCTTGAGTTTCTAGCCCCTTGAACTGGGAAAAACACCTTTTTTTTTTTTTTTTTTTTTGTTTAAGCCATGCAGTGTGTGATATTTTGCTAGCATAATGCAGATAATACTGAAATTTTACTATCTTTCTCTGTTTTTCCCCCCTCTACTCTACCAATTCCTTTAAGCAAATCCCAGACATCATTCTATTGACTCCTCTAAAAATAGTAGCGTTTCCTTTAAAAACATGGACCTTTTCCTCCATTACCTCACCTAGAAAATTGCCAAACATTGTCTCTTTCTCATATAATACTCAGTCCCATATTGGAAGTCTCCAATTGACTCGAGGGTCCTTTTTGTAACATTGATTGGTTTGAATCAGGATCCAGGCAAGATCTACCCATTGTGTTTGATTGTTAAATCTATTTCTCTTCTTTTGATCTACAGCAGTAACCCTCCCTGCTTGTTTTGCTTTTGATTTATTGGCAGTTTTTACATCAATTGTCCTTTCATGTCACACATCCTAGACCAGAGGTGGCAAACCTATGGTATAGGTGCCGCGGTGGGCTGTTTGTATCATTGAAAGCTCTAAAAGTTTTGCCATCATTGTCTTAATCTTTGCTGCTGGCTTCACTATGATGCCACTTAACTGGCCCTCTACTCCCTGTATTTCTTATCAATGTCTGATGAGATTCACATCGAACTTTTTTGTAAGGATACTAGGAGTAGTATGTCCAATTGTTTTCTTTTATAGGGATGCTAGGATTGATCAATGATTTTAGGCAATGAACATTTAAGTTTTTGAAAATATTTTCTATAATTATGGTAGCCACTGTAGATCTCCTGTTGTCTTGCCTTGAAATCTGTGTCACTTACATTGTTTTCTTCTGATCTGCTGTGTTCTGTTTTGTTCTGTTTAGTTTTACCCTCTTTAAAATAAAATAAAAATATGAAAATATTCCACATATATGCTTTATACATGATCAAATATTTGCTGCAGGTATATAATCTTTTTGGTGCCGCTTTTTATTTTTTATTTTACAGAGAAAAACACCAGAAAAATCAAGAAGCAAGCAAGGAATTAAGAA